TTCATTGTAATTTTCTTTCAGGATCAAATCAATATTATTTTGATCCATTGTTGTGGGGCTCTTAAATTGCATGAGGCCCATTTTGGTAATCCGGAACTGGACTAAGCCCAGTAGGGCAAAATGTAATCAGGGATTTTACACACACATTGCATGAAACAATATCTCAGGAAGACGAAATCTTTTCAAAATTAGAGAAATTCTCTCTTAGACAGCAAATATGACAAATGTTCCAACTGGAATACCTCCCCTCTATTCCTCTTCTGGCGAACAAGTGGAATCGACCCTGACAAAATATACTAACAGGTAGGATTTGTTATGACAGAAGAGACCTTAATAATATTTATTATCATGTTTTCTGAAAGTGCACCAAAGATACAGCATGCAGGACTTTTGGTGTGCTTTCAGAAAATGCAGAGACAATGTGCAACCTAATATAAATCTATAAGACTGCAGCCACTGTATAACTGCTGGTAAAATGCAGGAAAACCCCCTTTACATTACACAGCCCCTGCACCTCTGGATCCCTTTACATTACACAGCCTCTGCACCTATGGACCCCTTTACATTACACAGCCTCTGCACCTATGGACCCCTTTACATTACACAGCCCCTACACCTCTGGATCCCTTTACATTACACAGCCTCTGCACCTATGGACCCCTTTACATTACACAGCCCCTACACCTCTGGATCCCTTTACATTACACAGCCTCTGCACCTATGGACCCCTTTACATTACTCAGCCTCTGCACCTATGGACCCCTTTACATTACACAGCCCCTACACCTCTGGATCCCTTTACATTACACAGCCTCTGCACCTATGGACCCCTTTACATTACACAGCCCCTACACCTCTGGATCCCTTTACATTACACAGCCTCTGCACCTATGGACCCCTTTACATTACTCAGCCTCTGCACCTATGGACCCCTTTACATTACACAGCCCCTACACCTCTGGATCCCTTTTACATTACACAGTCTCTGCACCTATGGACCCCTTTACATTACACAGCCCCTACACCTCTGGATCCCTTTACATTACACAGTCTCTGCACCTATGGACCCCTTTACATTACACAGCCCCTACACCTCTGGATCCCTTTACATTACACAGCCTCTGCACCTATGGACCCCTTTACATTACACAGCCCCTACACCTCTGGATCCCTTTACATTACACAGCCTCTGCACCTATGGACCCCATTTCTGGATCCCTTTACACACAGCCCACCTATGGACCCCCACAGCCCCTGCACCTCTGGACCCCTTTACATTACACAGACCCCTTCACATTACACAGCCCCCTTTACATTACTCAACTGCCTATGCATTACACATCCCCCTTTACATTTCACAGCCCCCTTCACGTTACACAGCCCCCTTTGCATTGCAGAGCCCCCTTCACGTTACACAGCCCCCTTTACATTATACAGCCCCCTTCACGTTACACAGCTCCCCTTTACATTACACAGCCTCAGGGGCGGACTGATTCTGATGGGCACCCTAATGTAAGGAGGAATTCTGATGGGGACCCTGATGTAAGGAGGAATTCTGATGGGGATCCTGGTGTAAGGAGGAATTCTGATGGGGACCCTGATGTAAGGAGGAATTCTGATGGGGATCCTGGTGTAAGGAGGAATTCTGATGGGGACCCTGATGTAAGGAGGAACTCTGATGGGGACCCTGATATAAGGGAGGACTCTAATGTAAAGGAAACTCTGATGGGGACTCTGATGTAAGGAGGAATTCTGATGGGCACCCTGATGTAAGGAGGAACTCTCATGGGGACCCTGATGTAAGAAGGAATTCTGATGGGAACCCTGATGTAAGGAGGAACTCTGATGGGGATCCTGGTGTAAAGAGGAATTCTGATGGGACCCTGATGTAAGGAGGAATTCTGATGGGGACCCTGATGTAAGGAGGAATTCTGATGGGGATCCTGGTGTAAAGAGGAATTCTGATGGGACCCTGATGTAAGGAGGAATTCTGATGGGGACCCTGATGTAAGGGAGGACTCTATTGTAAAGGAAACTCTGATGGGGAATCTGATGTAAGGAGGACTTTGATGTAGGGGGGACACTGATGGGCTCAAGTTTATTTTAAATTTATTTACTGAAGTTCTTTTTCTGTTGCTCTTAAACATATTATGCTGATTATAAAAAAAAGAGTTTCAAGTAAAACGTATTCATTCAATTACGTTATTTTATTCATTTTTAAAAACAGATTTCTTTTTAGCCAGCAGAAATTTGTAAAATATAAAACATGCCTGGCCCTAGATTAACTTTCAGCAGCAGCTGAACATCATGAACACAGGTAAGGCAGAGGAGGGAGGTAGTGAAGCTTGGCATGCTGAAGAAAGCTGCAAAAGCCATTACTGCAGAGTGCATGATGTGCAGCAGTTTGTGTGCCTGCTCTTACATAGCAGTGGCTGAAGTATACCCAGGAATCCCCACTTATTGTCTGAAACCTGGATTAATCTGAATGAAGGCCTGGTTCACACCTCCAGTTGGCTATCACAGTGATCAGTCACTGAGCAACCCGCCCCTGTAGTATCTTTCTCTTCTCAATGAAGAGAAAGATACATTTTATCTTTCCTTGTAGGAGAGAAAGATGTAAATAAACAAAACTGTGTTAAAAAAATATATAGCCACATCAAGGTTTGATCTAGGTCAGTTCCAGGGTTAGTGTTAGGGTACAGACAAGGGTCCAAGGTCGGGGTCAGTACATTTTGGGTAAGATTTAAAAAAAATATATATATTTTTTTAATTAGTATCCTTGTCAGTGTGTTTTAGGTAGGATAAATAATATTAAAATGCGCACCATAGTTCCTGGGCCGTACTACAGGTACAAACAACAAATAACATACACATATGTGGTACTGTTGAAATCGTCATGAGAAGAAGAATTTATTTTGGGTTGTTCTTTGGTGGTGTAGGTTAGGATAGTAGCGGCATAGTGGCTAAATGGTTAGCATTTCCACCTGCCAGTACTAGGGTCGCTGGTTCGAATCCCAACCACGGCACCACCTGCCTGGAGTTTGCATGTTCTCCCTGTGCTTGTGTGGGTTTTCTCTGGGTACTCTGGTTTCCTCCCACACTCCAAAGACATGCTGGTAGGTTAATTAGCTCCTCTCTAAATTGTTCCTAGTATTTGTATGTATGAATGCAAGTTAGGGACCTTAGATTGTACACCCCTTGAGGGTTAGGGACTGATGTGAATGTACAATATATATATGTAAAGCGCTGCATAAATTGATGGTGCTATATAAGTACCTGAAATAAATATATATAGATACATTTAAAAAAGAGAGGGGTTTTTTTTGTTTACTATTTTTATCACTTTTCCTTTGACATTAAAAAAACAAAAACAGGCGATATCTGTAACCATCTACCACCAAAAGAAAGTCCAGTTTGTCCTAAAAAAGCAAGATAATGTCACATGTCAAATATGCAAGGTTGAGGCATTACCTTTTGTTTTGCCCTCAGGCTCTAAGGGGTTAAGCGCAGGGGTGGACTCGCCATTTAGGCATTCGGGCACTGCCCGAGGGCTCAGGGTCAGTAGGGGGCCCCATGAGATGCCCCTGGTACCTTTCATAGGCTTTTTTGGGTGTGGTTTGAGTGTGGGCGAGGACACAGGGGCCCCATGATGTCCTATTGCCCGGGGGCCCCATGAGTTGTCAGTCTGCTCCTGGTTAAGCGTACACGTGTGTGAGAGCTGTGTTTACCCACACCAGAATGTACAGGTCCCAATTTGACAGCTGTGTGGGTGCGTGTTCCTGATTGCAGACAGTGTGAGCTTGTGAGCACACGCACACACACGTCAAATTGGGAGCAGCGGCTGTGTCCATGCAACCAGTGCATCCCAGGAAGACATGAATGGGACTGCCTGCACTGGGATCCACTGGGCACGTGTGCATCTTGGTACAGGCAAATACTCGCCCTCACACAGGTGTACAGAAAGGTAAGCCCATGTGAATGAGACCTAAGGGCTTACTCACACAAGCATACGCACACTTCCTGCCTGGAACACAGGTTCTGGTTGGCAAAGAAGATCCTCCATAAAATATGCACCTAAAATAGTCGGGTTTAAACATGTACAGCATTTAGATGAGTACAATTGTTCTAATGGCTGTTTGCACGTACGCATTTACATGTACTTACAGGCGTATGCACATCAAATCTGCAGATATGAATGGCCCTGGATGCAACTGTTTTTTTTTTTTGTATGGCACATGGTTTCATTTGTAGATGCAGCTATGTGTGTGACCCCATCGATTCCTATAATGCTGCATTTAGATGCGTACAAAACTATACGTAGCTAAACGCTGCCCTTTAGATGCCCATCTGAATGAGCACTAAGTTGTTGTTGCTACATACCCATAATAAAAGAATTTAAAAAATAAAAATAAAATTTTATATATATATATATATATATATATATATATATATATACACATTTTTTATTTATTACTATGTTTTTATTCTTATAGTAATATATATATATATATATATATATATATATATATACACATTTTTTATTTATTACTATGTTTTTATTCTTATAGTAATATATATATATATATATATATATATATATATATATATATATACACACACACACATTTTTTATTTATTTGTTATTACTATTTTTTTTATTCTTATAGCAATATATATATATATATATATATATATATATATATATATATATTACACACACACATATATATTTACAAATTACATATATATAATCCCATAATAAATGAATAAAAACAAAAATACACACACACTTTTTTTTTTTTTTTCTTATTATCATCTATCCATCCATCCATCTCCTAGAAATTCTGCTGCCCCTCTTCCCTCTAGAGTAAAATCTAATCCTTTGCCATCCACAATATGGCCGACCTATTGTCGCGTTCCGCCACACACAACATGGCCGCCGGACCTTCCTGTTTCTATGGCAGTAGCCTGTCTACCCACACCGGAAGTGGTTTCCACGTGCGCTCCAGAGAGCTGCCATGGACTCTCTGCTTCTCCCTGAGGCTCCGGGTCTGGATGACGAGCCCGAGGTGACACTGCAACCCAAGAGGAAGATGTCTCTGTGCAGGTGAGGGGGTCGGACCCTGAACTGGGCTGTACCATCACATACTACTGAGGGGGAGACAAGCATGGGGGGGTCTAATCACTGGATAAGTCACCCAGGAAAATGCCACCCAGGAAAATGCCAGCTGCCTGGCTGTTTGTGTGGTAAAATATTGAACTCCTCGGATTCTCTAGTGAACTCTGTACAATGTCCATACTGGTTCATGTTACATCATGGGACGTTAACCCTTTCACTGATGAAGCAAATTTTTTTTAAAAATTTAATCTTAAAATTTTTATTTTTAGTTAGAAGATCCCCCGTGTGACCTTCGTGCGATTTCACCCCCTTTATGACCCGGACATTTTTTGCTATACTTCGGTAACTGCGCGGTCATGCAACACTGTACACACACCAAATTCGGATCATTCTTTCACACAAATAGAGCTTTCTTTTGGTGGTATTCCATCACTGCTGGGTGTTTTATTTTTTATTATATAAATTACATTTTGAAAAAGAAACATTATTTTTTACTTTCTGTTAAAACATATCCAATAAATTGAAAAAAAAAAAAAAATCATATTTCTTCATCGGTCCAGCCCAAAATGTATTCTGCTGCATGTCTTTGGTAAAAAAAATCCCAGAAAGTATATATTATATTATTATTATTATTATTATACAGGATTTATATAGCGCCAACAGTTTGCTCAGCGCTTTACAATATAACAGGAGACAATACAGCAACAATACAGTTCAATACAAGAGGGATAGGAGGGCCCTGCAATTGGTTTGTGTGAAAGTTCTAGCGCCTACAAACGATGGTCCGGGGACTAAATCGGGGTCCTAATCTACTTGTCCCGCATGACAGCTCCGGTGTCTGCTCCATTAAAGGATAAGTACAAAATAAATGAAGAAATGCCCATTTTTTGCAGGAGCCTGGAAATATTACACCAGCAATCAGCAGACCTGGTGCTAGAATTATTGATCTCATTCTGGCATGCGCAGCGATATGTAATGTGTATCGCAATCGACGTCTTCATGTATAGGCGTCTTAGTGTGCGCGTTTACATTTGTATAGGTGGGGGTGGAGGGCCTCAATATGTTTTTATTTGAGGGAGGGGGGATTTCATGTGCTTGTGTGTGTGCTTTTCTTTTTTTTTTGCTTAAAGTGGAGCTCCACCCAAAGGAGAATTTCTGCTTTAAAGCTTTGTTTCCCGCTCCCCATTAAGAATTGACACCTTGGGGGAGTAGGTACCTGAATTTGACAGGTACCCGCTCCCACTTCCGGTGCGATGGTGATTGGAAGTGGAAGTTGTCCTCCCCCATACCTCCCCCCCTTCCTTCCCGTAGTCTTCTGGGACACGTGACAGGTCCCAGAAGACTACGGGACCATTCACAAAGCACAGCGCTACTACTGGCACTGAAGATGCCGGCGCTGGGGAGAGAAGACAGCCAACCAACTGTGGTTAGGGGACACTGCAGGATCGAGGGACAGATAAGTGTTTTTATTTTAAGTCAGCAGCTACAGTTTTTGTATTTTTTTTTTTTTTTTTTTTTTTTTAATTCAACTGGAAATCTGCTTCAACTTTTTTCTTCATCACGTAGGGGACAAAAAGTCTAATATGTTATGATTTTCGGTGACAGGTTCTCTTTAATGAGACTTCTGGAGTCTAAAAGACCCTGGATGTTTCCCTTGTACTCCCCTGAATATAATACAGTGCACATCACAATACATTACATTCTTTCACTGCCTCGATAGCTGGGAAATCTGACAACAGAGATACAGAAGTGGTGTCATACACGTCACTTCTGGGTCAGGAAAAGGAGAGGAGAGTGGACGTTTCTGCCGTCCTTCCTCCCCTCTACCCGCTGCCACCCACAGATGGGCAAGCGGAGCCCAGGAGACATAGCAAGTGGGGGGAAGTTCACACGCATGGGGAAAGGGGTGGAGGTGGGAACTGTAGTGGGGTGTGTGGAAACAATCGGGCGACAGCGATGTGTATGATGCTTTTACTAATGGATGTGCCAGGACACAGGAACCTGCACATCCCTGCTGTCATTGGAGCCCTGTGTTGTTTACCAACACAGAGCTCTCTCCTGGAACTCGCTCTGCTGGTTGATGGGTCCCAGCCATAAATCATTGGCCGGGACCCAGTGATCGGCATGTGCTAGAGCCAGTAACAGCACAACCAAGTTGGCGCGTGCCCCGTATCCAGGAATGCAAAATCACTTGTATATAAACCTCCAAAATTTGTTTTCTGAAAGCAGAGGACCTGTAGAATAACTGTTTATTAGATGGATGTTTTCAAGAGGAAAAAAAAAACCCTGAAATTGATTGTAGTGCATACAAACACAATGCATTTCCCCTTTATTTGGTAAAAGATGAGATTACAATAGATGATGCTTTACCACTTGACACCCCCCGGCCAATCCTGACTTTCCTCTCCCACATGTAAAAATAAGCTTTTTTTTTTTTTTTCTTGAAAATTACTTAGTACCCCTCCCCCCAGACATTATATGTTTTTTAAGGATAAGCCCTAGAGAATAAAATGATGGGTGTTGCATTTTTTTATGTCACTCAGTATTTGTGCAGCAGTTTTTCAAATTTTTTGGAAAGAATACACTTGAATAAATGTTAGTGCACATAAACACAACATAATACCCATATGTTTGGGAAAATATAAAAAATGATGTTACGCTGTGTAAACCAAGTTCCACACATGTCATGCTTTAAAAGTGCGCATGCCTGTGGAACTGCAGCAAACTATGGTACATTAACCACTTCCAGACCGTACACTTTTACCCCCTTCCTGTCCAGGGCAATTTTCAGCTTTCAGCGCTATCACACTTTGAATGACAATTGCACGGTCATGCAACACTGTACCCAAATGAATTTTTTACCATTTTTTTGAGACAGATAAAGCTTTATTTTGGTGGTATTTATTCACCGCTGGGATTTTTTTTTTTGCTATGTAAATGAAAAAGTCCAAAAATTTTGAAAAAGTGTTTTTTTTTTTTTTTAAATTTCGCAAATAAATAATATCTCATCATAAATCTTGGCCAAAATTTATTCCGTTATCTTTTTAGTAAAAAAAAAAAAAAATCCAAATTAGTTTAGAACCAAAAATAATTTTTAAACATTGTTTTTTACATTTTTATTTTATTTTTTTATATTTTTTATTTTAATTTATTTTTTACATACTGTCACCCTAGCAGTACAGTGTCACTATGGTTTTTTACACTGATTGCTTTTACACCCATATAGGATGTAAAAGCAATCATTTCTCTTTTTCTCTGTCTGCATTCTTGCAGTCATTGAGAAGTACTGAGTGAGCTGTGATTGGTCACAGCTTGTCACATGGTACAAGGCTATTGTGAATAGCCTTGTACCATGTGACCTCTGTGATCATTCACAGATTTCACACGTAGTAAGCAATGATGTCACAAGTGACATCTTGCTTACTACTTTGCATGTGATCACTGATTGGCCAATTAGTGATCACATGATCGGGACCTTGTACAGAGGTCCCGTCCGACGATCGGTGTTTCACTGTGTCCTGAGGACACAGCAGGCACCGGATCGCGGTGCTGCGCGCTCCCAGGGAGCGCGCACAAGCAGGGTGCGGGGAGGCCGTTTATAAACTGCCACCGTCCGGCCATTTATATACAATGGCCGGTCGTGAAGTGGTTAAATTATGCATAGGTGACACTTTAAAAGCCTTTGAAGGTTATCACTTTAGATTTACACAGGGTGTCTGGTGTTAAAATTATTGCTTTTTCTCGGACATTTGCAGTGATGCCCTACATGTGTGGTGTGGAACTGACGTGTGCGTTCCCCTTTGTGCATGAGCATGGGGGGACAGGGTGATTTTTAATTTTTTTTTTTTTTTTTTAAATTCAGGGTTTTTTTTTGGGTTTTTTTTTTACACTTTACCTTTACTTTTTCTTTTATTGCCATTACAAGGGATGATCAACACCGCATATGTATGGGCCACGACAGATCCTCTTTATGGAAAGATCTGGGGTATATGAAACCCCAGATCTCTCCTTTGGCCTCCAAAGCAGCAGATCAAACCGAAATCGGTTTGATCAGCTACTACACAAGCTGGCAATGGCAAAATCCTTCCGGTTTCTGATGTCACACAGTAGGAGGAACAAGATTAGTTTCTTTCATTGTGTTCGGAGAAGGCGATGTTGCCAGTGGCATCCCTACTGGGCTCCCCGATCTCACAGGAGAGCCTGGTAAAAGCGGCGTCAAGAGGATGATGGGACCCCCTTCCATCGCCTGTAAAAGTAATCCAGCAGCTTCTTAGCCTTTTCCGTTTACATTGAAGGGAATGTCTGGCTCTAAAAAATAATATCTTGATCATTGCTGCAGCTGCGCGATGACTGAGATACCGCCCTTCCAATCCAGTGGCTGACCTTTAACTTCAAGTGCTTAAAAACCCCCTCAAAAAAATTTGAGCCTACCCCATGTACACACATGGAGCATAAACACACATGTTGGAGACTCCTACAGACCTGTGTAGGTGGGGTGCTCATATTAGTGCTGTAGCAGTTTTCTGTAGACTGGACTATTCTGACCGATCCTCTCTCCCCTGCAGTTGTGAGACCTGTGGAAGCGAAGAGGCAAAGTATAAATGCCCCCGATGTATGAAGTACTCATGCAGGTAAGATGACCGCTTTACTGTCTCTTAAGGGCTCATTCACACAGACGGAAGGATTTGTGTGAGGGGGGGTAAAAGCAGGTTGTTGCGCAGCAGTTTTAACCCCGCCCACCATTACCCAAACTAGGGAATGATTCCACTTAGGGCTGTACACATATGCTGCAAATTTACGCTGTGCTCACACTGGGGTCAGTTAAAGTGAACCTCGCCCAAGTTTGATTCTCCCCACTCCCCCTCTGGTCTGCACTCACACTGGACTATGAGGAAGTGTTCCCAGGCGCACCCCTCTGCTATCCAAATCAGTGATCTGTGCTTCAGTCTGTCGAGAGTTTATTTACTTATTATTTATTACAGGTACTTGTATAGCGCCATCAATTTACGCAGCACTTTACAGATATATATATATATATATTGTACATTCTTATCAGTCCCTAACCCACAAGGGGTGTACAATCTAAGGTCCCTAACTCACATTCATACATACACATACTAGGGCCAATTTGGACAGGATCCAATTAACCAACCAGCATGTCTTTGGAGTGTGGGAGTAAACTGGAGTACTCAAAGGAAACCCGCACAGGGTGAACATGCAAACTCCAGGCAGGTGGTGCCGCGGTTGGGATTTGAGCCAACGACGTTAGTGGAAGTGCTAACCATTAAGCCACTGTGCTGCCTAGAGTTCTGTGCTCTGGCACAGAATCAAACTATACTGGACCACAAGTGAACCACAACCACAGTGGTCCTGGTCACAGTTCAGAGCATTCACTACACAGACGAACCAGCCTGAGGGGCTGAACCTTGTACAGGACTGATTCGAAGTACCGGTGTGAGAGCGCCCTCAAATGGCATGGTAGTAAAGGTATAGAATCGGCACTCATGCTTAATAACCTTCCAGGTAAATAAATACATAACAGTGCAGCAGTCTCTGTGATTAGTGAGCGCTGCACTGTTAGTATTTATTTCAATGGCATGCTGCTTTCAGCAGGTGGTACCGCCACCAAATGTGACCTATACAAGTGAATGTGGCTCCACCAAACCTGCATGCAGTGCACACGGTTGCAGTGTGGTGTGTCCTCATTTTGAGGGATAACGCAGGAAGTATGGAGATGATCTGTCACCTCCTCACTTCCTGTCAAATGCCCTCTGAAAAGCCATACACTGTGGACTGCTTTTCAGTGGGGTGGCAGTATAGCTGTATGTGTGAATGAGCCCTGATTCATGTACTTCCTGCTCCTGCACAACATTTACTGATTCTTTTCCTTTCCTCAGTTTACCCTGTGTAAAGAAGCACAAAGTGGACTCTGAATGCAACGGAGTCCGAGACAAGACGGCTTTTGTGCCCCTAAATAAATTCAGTGACATAGACCTGCTGAGCGGTGAGTGACGACCTATATACCTGGACTGAATGATTACAGAGCAGGGGCTTTATATCAGCCTTGTCTGTGTTTAGTTTTTTTCAATCTATTAGTATGTTTATTATTTTAGTTTGGGTTAGAAAGGCGGTCTATAGGTAACACTAGCTGGGAACATTTGTAGCTGAAGTATAACGTGCTTATATTTTGCCTCCCCCTTGTTCCTTCAGTCCCTGTCCTCAACATAACGAACCAAATAAATAAAACTTTTTTTTTTCTTTTTTTGACCCCTGTTGGGTCATCACTTAGCCTCTTTGCTTCCCTAGGCAATGCAGGTAGATCATGCCTGGTGGGAGGGCTAGCATGGTATGTAGCTTTCTGAAAACAGTAAGCTGCAGTAATGTTCACATGTGATGTTGAGCCTCCATGACTAAAAACTGAAATTCAATAAATGAAAGGGGCCAGGGACAATCCGGTTGGGGAGTAAAGGGCTAGATAATGTTGGATGTCCTCCAGCCAGGAAAATGGGGTCTTTTTCTGACTGCAGGTTCTAATCCACATTGTGAGAAGCTCAGAGTAAGTTTTTCAGTACAGAAGATGATTTCGTACAGCTGTGCAAGACTGAACGGAAGGCTGGAATTCAGATTTAAAGAGAACCTGTCTTTGCTCAGGTCAAAGTGACTGGTTCTCTTGATAGCGAGCCCCACACCCATTAATACTCACCTTTGCAAAGCTTCCCCATGACTTTGTGTCCAGGATCAATGTGAAAACCCAAGTATTTTCAGGTATGAGCACACATGTGACCCCCCCCCCTCCCCCTTTCCTCCCAGGATGCAGTGCTGGTACCTGAGTGGCAGGTCACCAGGCTCAAACAAACACTGCCACCTGGTGGAGGAGTGAAGACCTGTGCTCTGACAATAGGCAACATGACAGATTCTCTTTAAACAGACCCAGCTTCTCTAACTGTGCATTTTAAATAAAATCTGTTGTGGGGGAAAACATTTCAGGTGCATTGTGCACCTGTCTTTTTGAAAATGCTATTTGTTTGGCTGTCATGTTGACATCTGGGAAAGGTAAGCAAGCAGATCAGGTCTGACTTTCTAATCTGCATGCTTGTTCTAGTCAGTGGCTTAAAAATGCTGAAGCTTTTGGCAGCCTTGATAGCACAGGTACACTTGTTTGTATATTACATCTACAGTCTTGATCACAGCCTATTATGACAATTGGAATCGGAGGCAGACCATTAGCTATATGGCTGGTACAAGTAATGCGTGCCGAGCTTACACTGATTCGTGAGAATCTGAGTTCCCAAAGAGACCCTGTCCCCAACAATTTCAGGTGAACTCATAGAAAAATCAGGTATTTTAAAATGTTTATGGTTGCTTACATGCAGTTTTTTTTTTTTTTTTCTTTTAAATTATTTTTTTTTTTATGCACTTGAAATGTGCCTTAGAGTGTGCTAGAAAATTTGATCACTCCATTATGAGTCTGTTCCCTAGCACAGCCCCCTCCCTCCTTGCATGTCATAGCCCACTCATTTTGTGGAAGTGTCTAATTATTTTCTGTGCTGGCCCAGCTCCTCGTCCCTCCCCTCTCTACATAACCTTTTATGCAGTTTACTGGGGGAGAAGTGAAGGGTAATACTTGCTTGAAGCTCTAAGTCTGCTGGGGATTTTTACAGGTACATAACATTAACATGGATACAATTTATTAAATACAGATCTAATCTTATGGGGGGTGTTTTATTGAAATGAATAGTCTTGGGAGGTTTTTTGTTTTTTTTTTACAGGTAAGGTTTTTGGGTTTTTTTTAAGTTTTAGGAAATGTAAAAGGGAAGGGGAGAGGGGAAATAATCATTTCCTAAAAAAAAAAAAAAAGGCAATAGGGTCTCTTTAATTGCTTATTTTAACCATCTTAACTATTCTGGCTGCGTAGTAAAATCCAGTAAAGGTCCTTGTGTCTGGAGATTAGCAAAATTTTAATTTCTCCTAAATTTCTGTTAAAATCTGAGGATTTGGGAGAGAAATTTTGCTATTTTTGAAACACAGGATCAGTGGGGAAGGTAATAGTTTTTAAAGTAGGATTATAATCGCTTTCACTCCCTGTGATGCAGTGTCCATGAGCCCCCCTTGCAGGCCATTGACATCTTCAGCCCATCTTCTTCCAAGGTCCAGCCTTCAGCCATTTTGATTGGCCGAGCCAGGGAGGATTTCACTCCTGCGCATGTATGGAAGTTCATTTATCTCAGCAGATGCTGAAATTGTACCGTGAGCTGCACATGCACAACTCTGTGCACCGGATATCGTATGTACTCCCCAGCGCCTCAGGATATGCACAGCCAAAAGGGAAGCCAAGGGAACCAGGACAGCGACAACCAAAGGAAATGCTTCAGGGGTGCAGCCCTCCTCAGACGGGGAAATCAGCCACTGGATAGAGAGAAAACAGGTGGCGCACACACCTAGTGCATTATCCAAGGTTTATTGTAGGAGTGAAAGAATAATAAAAACATACTCACAGACGAAGCATGTATCTAAAAAGCATAGAAAAATGACAATGGCCACAACGGCAGGCAAGGTGTTCTCACTGTCAGTGCGGTCAAATGGCTGACGAGTTTCGGGGACGAATCCCTTTCCTCAGAGCTGATGACCAACCTCTGATGCTGATGTATGATGGAATGGAAAGTAAGAGCCTTGCTGTTGAGGCATTTGACCGCACTGACATTGAGAACACCTTGCCTGCCGTTGTGGCCATTGTAATTTTTCTATGCTTTTTAGATACATGCTTTGTCTGTGAGTATGTTTTTATTATTCTTTCACTCCTACAATAAACCTTGGATAATGCACTAGGTGTGTGCGCCACTTGTTTTCTCTCTAACAACTCAGTGCACATTGCAAACAAACAGGTAAGAATACTTAAACACAGAAAGATATCTTGTGTCTTTTCTGCATTACAATTCCTGCCTGTTCACGAATATATATTAGGTCAAGTTCTACTTTAAGGGTGCAATAGCTCCAGAGAGGTACAAAAGTTTCCTTCAACTATCCTGATTAGCCTAATTATTTTTCAATAATGTTAAAAAGTGAAATTTAAAAAAAAATGAAAGCGACAGGGCACATTACTATCTTATACACACAAAAAAGGAAAAACACACACAGAACACTAAATGAGATAATTAAATATGCCCCACAAAGCCCACAGCCTCTAAATAACCTAAACACATTTACATTTCACAAACAAATGAGTGTACGATTCAGTGAAAAATCGCTTAAATCATAATTATGTCTATGGGGACAGAATGGAGAGATGCCAGGTTCCAGTTTGAAAGACATTTTGGGTGACTGACAAAAGGAGACTATAAATGGATCCATGTGTGTCTCCTGTATTGTAAGATCCTCTGTTTTCTTTCATGCATCAGATTATCGTTTTCTGGAAGATGCCGGAAGGGTGTCGGATCGCTCCTCAAGAGATTCAACTTTACCTCGAAACACAACTAATAAATATGTACGTACATTGTGGGAGCAATTGATGATTCTAAACAGTGTTTAACCCATTTGCTGCTAGAGTTGATTTTGAGTTTTTTTGCACACTTTTAAAAAATCCTTTTAGGACTGCAGGTTAGTTAACACCCCCAAATATATATTTTTTTTATCACATAGGGGACCAAAAGTCCCCTATGTGATGGCGTTTTGCTGTGATAGATTCTCTTTAATGAGACATCAGGGGTCTATTAGAATGGTAGTGTGTGGAAAAGCACCCACTGCTGCCGATGTATGACACCAATGAAAAACCAGCTTTCTGATGAAAGTCTTTTTCCCTTACCTTAAAAAAAAGTTATGTGAATGATTCATTGCTGTGCTGATTTTCTCTAAATAAATATATATCTACAGTATATCCTGGAATCATTATCCATATTGGGTAGCCTCTGTGTACCTGAACCCATGCAGGGATTTAGAATGATGAATGTGTACCTGAACCCATGCAGGGATTTAGAATGATGAATGTGTACCTGAACCCATGCAGGGATTTAGAATGATGAATGCTTATGCACACTTTACCTTTAGGCATTAAATCTGGGATTGCACATATGTGTCAGTATAGGTGTCCTGGTCTCATGGTTACAGGCCTTTGCAAGCTGTATTTGCAAGTCTGTTATAAAATAAAAACTGTTTTCCTCTTTAGTTGAACTTCTTAAAGAACCGAGCTCGGAAACATGACATAGATCTGAAAATTTTTCCTATTGGATTTTCAAAAAGAAGAGCAAATTCTACATTTTATAACAAAAAGTAAGTTTTTGTTTTGCAAACTGACGCTTTGACATTTAGTCCGCTTTTGCTTGTAATGTCCTGTATTCTGCAAGTGAGTAACCCTCATCTGTAAGTCTGTGACCTAGAACTGTGGTCTTCAGACTGCGGCCCGGGAGGTGGATGTGGCCTTTTGCTTGTGTTTATTCATCCTTTTGGCGCACTGTTACTCCCACTGACATTAGTTTTACTAAACCCACAACAGTAAAATCATTCTGTATATGCAGTAAGGCATGCTTGTTATACTCGCTGTGGCACCTCAGGGGTAATGCTCTGCATTGTGTAAAAATGCTGCTTGATCCTGTCTTCTCTGATCTTTCCCTTCTTCCAGTGCCCCCCTCTTAACTCCTGATAAGACCTATTGAGTGGAGACACTCTGCACGTGCTCTGTTTGGTGTGTATTGATAGGTTTATTTCTTGGGTGAGTGCATGTGATCAGCACAGGGCCAATCACCACTGTACAGACAGAGGTCAGGGGTCCTGCATCCTCCTAGAGCAGAAAGAAAACTCCTCCTACAAACTTTAACCAGTGCTCTGCTGAACACTGATAGAAGTCACAAGACTGTTCTAACTGCTGATAAGAAAAGGTATTTAGCAGTTTATATTTACTAAAATAAATTGCATTTCCATGTTCTGTGTACTGTGGGAGACCAGATATAGTGAATGCAGGGTCCGGGGGAGACCAGATATAGTGAATGCAGGGTCCGGGGAGACCAGATATAGTGAATGCAGGGTCCTGGGTTTAGTAACACTTTAACAATTGGGCATAATTCCTGCCGCTGACACCAGCAGTGGGGTACTATTCTTCCCACTAACACCAATGTTGTGGCACTATTTCTCCCTCTGACACCAATGATGGGGAACAGTTCCTCCCAATGACACCAATCATTGGGCATTGTTTACTCCCACCGACAACAGGACATTTTCTATTCTCAATGGCCACAGTCTGGCCCCCTAAAGCCTGAAGAAAAGTAAACTGGCCCTTTGTCTACAAAGTTTGGAGACCCCTGATCTAGAACTATGAGTGTGGTGTTTTCCATGTACACATGCTTGTCTCTGTTCAGCTCACCAGATAGTAGTGAATTGACAAGGATCATGGCAATAAAGCAGGCATTTCATAAAATAAGCCAGCATTGGCAGCTTTTTCTTTTTTACCCTTTGGCCACATTCGCACAGCCAGTTGCTTGCGGCCAACGATTTCCAGTGGCAAGAATCAGCGGATTCTTATGGCTGGAATACCAGTGCATGTGCTTAGCCGCGGCCTCTCTGTCTGTTAAAAAACTAAATGGCAGGCTGACAGTAGCTACCACTGTTCACATTTAACCACACACAGAGCCATTAAGTGCGGTTTTGGATGGATGCATGAGTCTGAACACAAGCAGAAAGTAACCAGCCACATGAAAGAGGCCTTAAAGGTGAAATATGGCCAAAGCTAATTTGGTCCTACATCTCCTATGGATCACAGGAGTGCAGTTAGGTCACTCAGACGGTCCAGGCTCTGGAAAGATCCCCACTTTAAAGTCAGGATCCACCCAAATGCCTGGACCGGCAGCTGGCTTGGCCTCTAAGCGAGTTGCTGAAAGCATGAGCCAGCCCCTCCCGCCTCCTCCACAGCCTGGTTCTCCAGTGGCACAGAGGGGCAGAGCTGAGTCACCAGTTCTCTGTTCACTGAAGGCTGAGAACTGAGAGATCAATGATCTTTGATCGCTCAGTCTTCGAACCAGCAGGGGAGAGATGCAGCATCAGATTGATGCTGCATCCACGTAGATGAGTGTATATATTTTTTTCTGAAGAAAAAAAAAAACTAAAAGTCTTCCCTTGCACTGCTTGGTTTTGTCTAGAGGGACCAGGAACAACAGATTTATTTACCGCTTCCATAGGCTCTTCCACATTACTAGACAGGTCTAATGTCCTCTGAAGGCATCAAGTAAAACGGCTTTTCAAGTGCCGTAGACAGAAATGAGCAGTTAACCCTTGCCATGGGAACAGCTCCACTGCAAGAGTGAAAAGTACAGAGTAAAAATAATGTCAATAAACTGTTTTAAATTGTCATACAAATATATATTTAAAATCAAATAATTAATATTTTTTGCCAGTTACATAGTGTGGGCAGATTTCTGCCAGTCACAGGCTGTGTCATGCCCCTCCAGCCTGTGTCTTAAAATAAAAGGGTGGTAAAGCCTCCATCAATCAGGATATAATATCCTGTCCCCCTTCGGGTTTTCTGGTTAGTGGGCATTAAGGAAGAGGGAGGGAGTGGGCTCTCTTTTACCACTGTGTTACGCCCACATGTGTGACTCTAGTCACATGGGCTGCTCAGCTGTGATGGGCTGGAAATGCTCGGGCTACAAAATACACTGAAAACTAAGCATATGTGCACTAGCTGTCAACACTGTTCTGCAAATTCCCCAATTGATGTGGGGACATGGACAGAGGGGGGAGATAGAGAACAGCAGGATCAACCAGGTTTTATGTAGAATACAGAATACCAATCTCATAGTGAATGAGTGAAAATGAACAGCATGTAATACACCATTTTTTGATAGTTTTAATTATGTGGGTTTGATGACACTTTGCCTTTTAAAGCTGAAGTTTGAGTATGGAAATTTTTACAGTTAAATTGATCCAGCTTGGACCAATGGGTTCCCATTTGAAGCTGAAAATCACTGAAGTAGGCACCTGCTACTACACAGCAGTGATCTTTACTTGCTTCTAGGTCCCTGCCCTGCTGCATTGTGAACACAGAAGGTTGTTCGCTTGGCACCAGTGCCATATAGAGAACTCTTTGCATTTTCTCAATGAATGCAAAGCCTTCTCTGATTTGTCGAGGTGTGATGGTGACATCATGATCTCCACTTCTGATCAGAAAACACTTTGCATGCATTGAGACAATGAAAAGCATTCTTTGAATGTCATTGGTGCCAAGCGAGCGACCTCCTGTGTTCAGTAAGCAGCAGTGCAGCCGCTCTGCATTGGAAGCTGGTGGGGATCACTATAGTAGCAGTTTCTACTCCAATGATTTCCAGCTTCCACAGGACTCCCAGACATGTGACCCATACATACTTACATAGATGAAAACTGGATCAATGTAACTATGTAATAATTTCCATGCCTGAAATTCAGCTTTTTACATTCTTTAATTTTTTAAGGATCGCACGTTGTATTTTTTATTATCGTTAAAAGTGCAGCGACATAATACCAGAAAGTGTTGACTGTCTTTGGTGTGAAATAGAATATTAGTCACATCTGGGGCCCAGAAAGTGTTAAGACTAAAGCATGTTTTGGCCACTGGGTGTCTCTCTAAGCATTACAACAGCCAAGAAAAAGCCATTTTATTGAAATAATTTTAGTTTTGCTGTTTCTTGCCTTGAACAGCCATTGCACGGGTAACATAAAAATGACTACCAAAGTCAGGAAAGACTTTAGTCTTAGTCCTTAAATAATTTGAAAAGCCTGATTTTAATAGTAAGCATGCCACATTACAGTTTATTACATTATTTGTTCCTTTATTTCCTTCAAGCAGTTTACCTCCGTGTGGTTACAGTATCAGTTGAAGGAGAAGTTGGGCCCAAGCTCTTTTAGCCATGCTTTTCCTGTTGCCTTCTCCACTCCTGTGATCCATTTTCAGCCAATAGCAGGCTAAAGCCTTTAGTTGGCTCAAATTGCAGAGCTGGTCAAGGCTCTGGAAGGATCCTGATCATATTGTTGGTATCCGTCCAGATGCCTGATTGGCAGCTGACTCAGCCTTGCAGTATGCCGCTGAGAACCTGGGCTAGCCGATCCCGCTCCCTCCACTGCCAAGCACTCCAGTGGGCATGCAGGGCAGGGGTAGAGCAAAGAGCTCACTGAAGACCTAGAACTAAGCAGTCATCGGTCTTTGATTGTACAGTTCTCGGTCTTAGAAGTGGCAGGGGGGCAGATTCAGTATTGGACGGATGTGGCATCCATCTAAGTATATATGTAGGTTTCTTTTTTCGGGGTTGTTTTTTTTTTGTTTTGTAATCCCAAACTTCTGTTTTAAAGCATATCTAAACCCAAACACAAATCATTCATATATAAAAGGTTCTACATTGGTTTTAGTGTTCTTTAGGCTTTTCCCCTTTATTTTCACCAGGTAGTCCTGAAAATAACACATTTCCTGTGCCTGTGTGACTAACTCACTCCACTGTATCTATAGAGGAAGCCATAGTTGTCACCTAGGCTGGACTTCTCTATTACATTGGGGATGGAGGAATTAGTAATTTAAAGATAATGTGTTTTTGTGCTTTCAGTTTGGTTCACAGGAAGTAACAGACAAGATTAGGCAAAATCAAAGGATATTTTATGTAGTTGTTGAAAAATAAAAATGAATGTAGTTACCACATCTAATGATTAAGTAGCAATATATTACATTTTCTTCCTTGGGTTTATATGTTGTGTAATACAACTGAATGTGCTTGTGTCCTTCCCAATATTGAGGAATTCTCAGCTGCTGCAATGAAGGAGTACCAAGAGAATAACTCATATGAACAGTTCATACATGTCTGTGGTGGAGTTGACTGCTGGTAGCAAAAGTGGGTACTACATAAGTTCTCACAGACCATAGAACAGCAGTCATTGCCTCTCAGTTATTCTGATGACGCAAAGGGCTTTCCCCATAGACTGGAGCTTCAGGCAGAGGAGGAGAGCGCTGGAGCACGGAAACCGTTAAATGAATAAACCCCATTCTGCAATACCCTTGACATACCAAGCATTTAACCCTTGCAGTGCTGTGGGGGTTACTGCAAGTTTTTTCATTGAGTTGGGCTTGAAAGCAGCCAGGTTTCCTCCAGAGGTTGCTTGGGGTTCCATGAGCAACAAGCAATTTCTGCCTTACAGATAAGTAGCCACTGACACCAATCATTTTTATACCAATCTGCACAGGGAACGTGGGGTTCCCTCAAAGACCACAAGTGCAAGGAAATTTCTTCCTATTGGCCATCACACTAATGCACCATGTGCTTTTGATATAGTATTTATTA